GCTTGCTGAAAGTGAAGAGGACTGGAAGTACTCACTGATGAAGATCAAAGACTACAGCCTTCAGCGTGGCTTTACACCTCAACATAAAGAAAACAAAAATCCTCACAGCTGGACCAATAAGCAGCATCATGATAAACAGAATATATTGAAATTGTCAAGGATTTCATTTTACTTGAATCCACAATCAATGCCCATAGAAGCAGCCGTCAAGAAATCAAATAATATATTGCATTGGGCAAATCTGCTGCAACAGATCTCTTTAAAGATGTCATTTAAAGACTAAGGTGCGATTGACCCAAGCCATTGTATTTGCAATCACCTCGTATGCATGTGAGAGCTGGACAATGAATAAGGACGATAGAAGAATTGATGCCTTTGAATTACGGCATTGGCAAAGAATACTAAATATACCGTGGACTGCCAGAAGAACGAAGAAATCTGTCTTGGAAGAAGTACAGCCAGAATGCTGCTTAGAAGTGAGGATGGTGAGACTTTGTCTCACATACTTAGGACATGTTATCAGGTGAGACCAGTCCCTAGAGAAGGACGTCATGCTTGGTAAAGTAAACCAAACCAACGTAAACCCATTGCTGTCGAGTCAATTCCGACTCATAGTGACCCTACAGGGCAGAGTAGAACTGCCCCATAGGGTTTCCAAGGAACTGCTGGTGGATTTGAACTGCCGGCCTTTTTGTTAGTAGCCAAGCTCTTAACCACTGTGCCACTAGGGCTCCTTGGTGAAGTAGAGGGTCAGCGAAAAAGAAGACCCTCAACGAGATGGATTGACAGGGTGGCTGCAACAGTGGACTCTAACATAGCAGTGATTGTGAGGATGGCACAGGACTGGGCAGGGTTTTGTTCTGTTGTGCGTAGGGCTGCTGTGAGTTGGAACTGACTTGAAGGCACCTAATAACAACAGAGTTCTAAAAGCCCTTTCAGGTCACAGGGCAGGCCAGTAAATCCTTAACATTCTCAGAATCTTCATCTGTTCAAGCACTTTCCAAACCTACAAGTCCACAGCGATCTTCTCGTCTTTGAAGCTCTTTGCCTATTTCATTTCAGAGGTCAGCACCAGCAGTTGCTTTCTCCTCAGGGCCGTCTTTCCCCAAATAAACAAAATTTCTCTCCTCTTCTGCAGGTCACCATAGTAACTGGCAGAGTACACCACGCATGCTAAGTGAGGGTTTGGGTTGGCTGATTCAGCCTGTTCCCGTCAGGCTCACTGTGTGTTCCGCCCTAATCTGTGTGCCAGCAACTTTAGATAAGGCTGTGTGGTTGACTCTCCTGAGCCATCGGAAGTTGTCAGAATTGCAGATGTTAACCCTGAGTGCTGAGGGTCCACAGTTTATATTAATAAATGTTGAACTTGAGGCTCATACAGAAGTGTCGAAGGTCATCAGACAGTGAGTAGCAAGCCTGGAACTCAATCTTTTTTTCTGGCTCCAGTCAATAGAATCCAAGAGACTTGGCAGGCAGGCCATCAGGAATCCAGAGCTAGGAATGAGGGGGCAAGGAGGAGGTGTGACCTGGGACTCAGAAATGCTTGCTGGTCTATCGCAATGCTTGTCAAACTTAGCGTGTATCGGAATGATCTGGAGAGCCTGCTAAAACAGATGAGGACGTCCACCCCGTCATCTCTGCCTTCGTTACCCTCTGAGTTGCTCGAGGGCTGCCAGTTACCGAGTGCCCCCAGCCTCTGTCCTCTGTAGGTACATGGTCTAGGGTCTAAGGGATCACACAGCCCCCTTCCCCCAGGTTTCTGCCTCATTAGGTCTGGAGTGGGACCTGAGAATTTACATTTTTAGCAAGTTCCTAGGAGATGGTGATACCGTGGGGATCACACTGAGAAACACAGGCCGACCGCTGCCTTAGCTTCAGCTGCGTTCAGACTCCATCTCCCTCAGCAGTAGATAATCTAAGCAGGACTTGCCTGCAGGATTTACTGGTCAGGTGGAGTGGACACAGGCAGTTTTGCTCACAGGATTCCCTGCTCGAGCACTCGCTGTTGCCTTCGGTCATTTCAGCGTGTGGTGTGAGTCTGTCAGAGGCAGAAGTGCCGGTCATTAGAGGTGTGTCTGTCTGACAGTGGGGTCAGAGGAGAGGCCAAGTCAGAGCACAGCAGGCAAGCAGGAACCTTTTGCCAGGCCTCTAACCCTAACTTCCTTGTTCCAGTGCCTTTCCGGCAGTTCTGATGGCACAATTCGCCTTTGGTCCCTCGGCCAACAGAGATGTATAGCGACGTACCGAGTTCACGATGAAGGTGTCTGGGCTCTGCAGGTCAATGATGCCTTCACACACGTGTATTCTGGAGGACGGGACCGGAAGATTTACTGTACGGACCTAAGAAACCCTGACATCCGGGTGCTCATTTGTGAAGAAAAAGCACCAGTTCTCAAGGTACGTCACATATTTTAGTTTTATAATTAAGGTACTTACGCATGTTAGCCAAATGCGGCAAAATCTGTATTAAAAGATGAATCAGCCATGGAGTGTGGAAAAGCCCTTTCATCATCAATGGAACCTGACGGCTGAGGAGGAGTAGGCACCTGTGAGGCTGGAAGAGTCCCAGTATCAGACACCCAGGAGTTCTGGGCAGGGACAGTTTTGTCTTTTACTTTTTTTTTTTTTAAACAGTTTTGTAAGTCATCTGTAGAAGCAGGGTCCGTCAGTGACACAGGCTTCTCCGCTGGTGAGTTGTGTAAGGTTGTCTGCTTGTTCCTGAACTTGGCTGGCTTTCCTGGCCTGTCCCGAGGAGGAGGAATTCGGAGAGTTGAAGTCATCTGTGAGCAGAGAGCAAAGCCAAAGGAGGATGGCAAATGCGTCCACGGCCTCAAGAACAAGGATGTGCAGGAGTGCTCCTGACGGAGAGGTGAGAAGGAGCTGGTTCGGGCTCCAGGTCCTCACTGGCCCAGAGTCCTGACAGGCACAGCCTGCAGTGTGAGCACACGGGTCCTTAAGGAGGTCTTCAGTGGCCGCCATATGTGAAACCTAGTCTGAGGACTGGCCAGTGAGCACTTGACCAGACGCTCAGCCTCACTGATAATCAAGGAATTGCACATTAAAACAACAATGAGGAGGTTTCCAAATTTAAATTGGAGACATAAAGACAGCACTGTCCTTTTTTCTCAGTAATACCTGAAAACAAGAAACAGAACTGCAAACACCCATCATCTGTGAAACTAAGCAACGTCTGAGACCCCAGCCCACTGAGAGTGCCGCCAAAACCGCTGAGCACACGTCTTTAAAAGAGAACCAAGCCCGTGAGCACACAGATAGCGTGTCTGATGGCAGGCTGATAGCAGGCTGATGGGGAGACAAGGCCAGGAGACACCCTCTGCATTGTGAGCCCTGCAGCTGCCAGGACCTTTGGGCTGGGGAGGAAAGAGCCTGGATTGTGAGCCCTGCAGCTGCCAGGACCTTTGGGCTGGGGAGGAAAGAGCCTGGATTGTGAGCCCTGCAGCTGCCAGGACCTTTGGGCTGGGGAGGAAAGAGACTGGAAAGACAGGCGTGTGTTCTCAGGAGCATCTCTGTGAACCGAGGAGGATCCTGCTAGGTGGAAGTCCAGCCGTGTCCCCGCCTCTGAACCTGCAGTTTTATGGTGCGAGAAGAACGGTGGATGTATGTAGAGTGATTCCACGCATAGTATATACATGTGTATGTGTGTATTTTAATATGTTCAGTATTGGAAAAATGCGGAAAAATGCATACTGAACTATTCTCAGATGTCCTGTCCCCAGGTGAGGGGTGAATTACAGGGCTGCTTGTCACTTCTGTGTTTTTAGAATTTTACTGTAACCATTTCAAAGAAGAAAGAAATATGTTTCCTTGTTATTAAAGAACATAAAAACCAAAGTAGCAAAAACAAATAATTATGGAAAGTTTTTATCCTTTTGACTGTACCCATTTGGGTTCCTCAAAGTAGCAACACTGAAAACACTGTAGTGCTGTTTTGGGGGAGCAGTCTCCCTAGGACACTCTTAGAGAACTGTGAATTCCTTTAGCAGAGACCCCGCTGGTTCTTCTGTGCATCCTTAGTTTCTAACACAAGTGTCTAATAAAGCACTGGATATTTAATAACGCATACCCTAGTCCTGGCAGTTCAGAAGAGTTGAGATTTCACAAAGCGACATTGTTGTGCTTTGTTTTCAGATGGAGCTTGATAGATCAGCTGATCCCCCTCCGGCAATCTGGGTTGCAACAACTAAGTCTACAGTAAATAAATGGGTAAGTGAGCAGTTACATACCCGGCAGAGGTTTATAAAACATGTGGTTTGTTACCACAGACCTGCCAGACGCCAGTAGCAAATACTCAGCATCACAACAACACCGCAGCATGCTTCTGGACAGTGATAGACATCGGAAAGCCTCTGAATGCAGCTGTGACCCTGAACAAGCAAAACCTAGTGCCGTCAAGTCAATTCCTACTCATAGTGACCTTATGGGACAGAGCAGAACTGCCCCGTAGGGTTTCCAAGGAGCGACTGGTGGATTCGAACTGCCGACCTTTTAGTGAACCGCCGAGCTCTTACCCACTGATCTAAGACCCATACTAAAATTAAGGTGATAATAAAAATGAAGTTTCTGACTTTCTTGTCAGAAGTCAAGGTGAGCATTTGAGGTGCTTGGAACAGGTACTGTCAAGAGCAGATTATCCAAGAAGCACGGTAAGCACACTGCTTACCAGATCATCGGTAGTCAGCACTTTCACTACAGATTAGTAAGTGAGCACAAGTAAGCCCATGCTTACCTTACTGGGTTATCTGCTGCTGTCAGGGATTATACATTTAAAAAGAGGCTTTGATTCTGTATGAAGGTGCTGTAGGATTGGGAGAGAGACAGATGCCAGCGATACCTAGAAGCAGAATCTTTGAAGGGGTGAAAAAATGTGGAATTGTTCACTACAGATGATCTGGTAAGCAAGGTAAGCACTGGTAAGCACTGTGCTTACCTTGCTTATTGGAGAATCTGCTCCTGGGTGCTGTTGCCCAATAAACCAATAAGTATTAGTACAGCTTCTGACATCATGGAACTGCATATGAAAATAGGTAGCCCAAATGCCAACACGGTGGGAAAACTCATCTGTATTCTAATTTTTCTAAAATAAAAGGAAGCAGATAATTTGCTTTCAGGTTCGTTTCGTTTTTCTTCATGGTGTGAACAGCGAGGGTAGAAGCAGAGGAGAAGCAGAGAGAAGTTATCAGTGGTGCTATGAACTCTTCAATCTGAGTTAGAGATTTAAGTTTCCCTGCTGTCCAGGCTATTTATGGATAACAAAGGAGAAAGTAATTGCATTTATTCCTGTTTATATGCAAGTTGGGCAGTCTTTCTCTGGGCTTAGAAAAAGTGTTCCGTATCTTGTCTAACTCTTGATGGGCCAGCTTGGGATCGGCATGACTTTTTACCTGGAAGAGCACGCCTGCTTTTGTGCACAGCTCTCTCTCCAGGAGAACAGCGTGTTTCCTTCTTCTTTTTAAATGATGGCAGGTAATTGTATTTTTTGTGACATAAGGATTGTTTTGATGATGTTGTGGCTGGGTTTTTTGTTTGTGTTCTTGAGTATTATTTTTCTTGACATTTTAAACAGATTGGTAAAGCTTGTAGGGTATAAAATGATTAAAGAGCACATTTTGTTTCTTTAGACCCTGAAGGGAATTCATAATTTCAGAGCCTCTGGAGATTATGACAATGACTGCACAAATCCTCTGACGCCCCTTTGTACGCAGCCGGACCAGGTTATTAAAGGTGAGTGAGCAGATTGGAGGGTATTGGTGCCTTTTACTGAGGTGAATTATAGTTACTAGGAGATTGACAAAAATAAAGGAGATGACCTTTGAATATGATTCTGACGTCAGCAGAAGACTAAGAATATGTTGGGGTTTTTTTGTTTTTATTGTTGGTTTGTTTTTAATAGAAGGAAAACTTATTTTAAAATGCTGTTTAGTGACTTTGAAAAGTGGGCTTTCTTGAGTTAATCTTTGTGCCCAACCTCAGAATAGTCCTGGTCCGGGTGAAGCCAGCAGCTGCTTTGAGAATATGTGAGGTTTGAGGTCGTCTTCTGACACAAGCTGGGAAAGATCAAATCTTGTTCTCAAATTCTATAAGCTGCAGCTGGGAGTGGCAAAAAAGGATACATTTGACGTCAGGGCTTGAGATTAGAATCTCCTGTGTGACAGTCGTCGTGGTTCATAGATCCCCGTGCTGTTAGCTTTAGAACAGACTCCATGTTCAGGAAGCGTCGAAAGAAGGAAGATGGGAAGCAAAAGTTAATGAGAGGCGGGACTAAATCAGATTCCTGCCACCATTTTGACTTTTCCCAGTTTGTAGAACTGTCTGACCTCGACCGTTTTGCACTGTCATCCCCTTGAAGTGAGGAGCCCTTTAGGCCATCATCTGTTATTAAAATTTGACAGTTTTCTTTGAATGCTTATGAATGAATGTGAATAGTGGATTGGCCTTAAATTGCCTTGTATGTGATTAGATACACTTTGTTTTGCCTTTTCCTCTTTGGCGGCTTATGGTTTATGTTCCTGTTACGTGCCGTTCAGTAATTTTCACTGCGTGTCAATTTAAATGTAAAATGATTGTCTTCCTAACTGTGTCCTTTTCTCCTTTAGGAGGTGCTAGTATCATTCAGTGCCACATTCTTAATGACAAGAGACATATATTAACCAAAGATACCAATAATAATGTGGCATATTGGGATGTGTTGAAGGTGGGTATCCTTTTGGATTAAACATAGGTCGTTGAATTACGTACCCCCTTTGTTTTTCTCTGTAAGAAAAAATACAAGATAACTAAGATAATAAACATAAATTAAGATTTAATTGCACTAATAGCTTACTTTTGGGGTGGATACCTTCTTACGCGAATATTTGATAAGGCCATTGTTGATCTTTTTAAACTATTTGAATGGAGCCATTTTCTCTGGTTAATATATTACAAACTGTCTTCTCTGCTGCCTTGCCTTAAAATGAGTACTCCAAGGGTTTTTATCCTCAGCACTATTGACATTTGGGCCAGTTAAGTCTTTGGAGGCAGGGAGCTGTTCTGTGTATTGTGGGATATTTAACAGTGGCACCCTGACCCCTTTCTGCTGATACCTACAGTACCCCTCCCCGAGGTGTGACAACCAAATTGTCTGGAGATGGCGATGGGGCAGAATCACCTTCAGTTGAGAATGACCACAGTGCACACAATAGAGGTGACTGTGTCTTAGGCTACACAGCCATCACTGTGGCATCGGTTACGACTCGGGGCTGTAATGCGCGGACTCCCGTTGAAACAGTTGGGATGCGTTCAATGTTCAGCCACATTCTGAATAGCACTGAAGAGTCCGTGGGCACATCGAGAAGTTAGTCTGCTTTTGTAGTTCTGACAAATGTCCCTTCTTAGTGTTGTTGGTATATTTGTTCATTTGTCCAGCAAGTATTTCCTGAATTGAATGAGTACTGTGTACAGAGAGCTGTGTGTAGGGCCACAGATGACGGAAGCATCTCTGCCATGATCATTCCTGGTAGGAGGCACGAGAGTGGAGACTGTGAAAGCCTTATAAATCAAGCATAAGGAGATCACAGGGTAGCTTATGGACCAGGGCAGTCACTCACAACTGGAAAAGTCAGGAGAGCTTCATGGTGGAGAAATCGTTTGAAGAAGGGGTTAAAGGATTCCAGCAGATGGAGAGTGGGAGGCCATTTCAAGAAGAGGGAGTGAATGACAGAGGCACAGAAGAAGTGGTAATGCTTATCCAGGGCAAGGTGAGCAGTTTGGTTTAACTGGAGACTAGAGTAAGTGTCAGGGAGCAGTGGGGGTGTAAGGATGAAAGCAGACATTCAGGGCATTTCCCAAAAACCCCTGAATTGCAGGCCCCATGGTTGGCCTTTGTTTGGTACACCCTGAAGAATCGTGGATGATATGAGAACAGGAAGACCCTACGGTCAGAGCAGTAGCAGTGCTGTGAGAGACTGGCACCTGGGAGGTGGTCGTCTTAAGTATACTGATTGGGGGATCTAAAGGAGGAGAGATGTTGGGTGTGTCATAAAGGAAGAGCTGCAAAGATCTAGGGGTTTGATAGGCTCCTGGTTTTAAGGAACAGATATTTACTTAAGTTAACCCCGTGAACTAAGGAATAAGATAAGTTCCTCTCTGGGAAAAGGGGCTGTCTGAGTAGAAGCCTTGGCCTGACCCAGCACCTTCCCGTCCCGTGGGCAGCTATGTGGGAAGTCACATTATGAAACATGATCACGGCCTCCCGACAAGAGGCCTTCGTTATTGGAATGGAACGTTTAATTGCGGCAGACTCTGTAAGTTTGGTTTGTTTTTTTCTGTGGTAGAGAGATGCCTGTGGTGGGGGGTGGAGGGTGGGCAATAGAAACTCATGATTGTTTCAGAGAGGGGTCCCATGGAGACTAGGAGGATCCAGAGCAGCCCTCAGGACGTCATCAGCAGGAATTCTTGACTTTTCACTTTGATAGTCTACCACTAATGTGTTCCTGCTTCTGCCCTGTAGCTGGGCTTCACCTCATGCTACCCAGTACCTGATCCTTTCCAGGATATCTCAGAGAATTTGAGCAGGCCAGCTGGTCCTTGAGAGCTGACCTACAAATTTTCTGCTTATGGGCCTGATGTCCACTGTTGGTCTGATTAACTGAGGCCTGAGTAGAGAGAGCCCTGCTGTCTGGATGGGAGGCAGTTCTCCTGAGATAGGGCTCTGAGCTGGCATGCAGCATGATTGGCAGTTTCCCATATCCAGACATGGGGCTTTGAAGTTGTGAGATCAGATGATCAGGTGTAGTAGACATGGTAGTAAACAGAAGCTGGGAAGTGAGGAGTAGTCAGGAACATGGACTGTGGAGTGGGACAGAGCTGCATTCTATCCTTGGCTCTGCCATCCGCTCACCAGGTGACCTGGGGACGTGCTGAAGGGATGTTTGAGAATTACTTAGCACGGTGCCTGCACATAATAATTAGGAGGCTCTTATACTGATGCAGGTGAAAGATGATGTTGGTCTGGATGAGGGTGAGAACAAGGAGCATGGGAAAAAACAGAATGATTAGAAAAATATTTAGGCCTAGGACAGGGGTGATGCATGATTGAAAGGAAGGGGGTCTGAAGGAGAGGAAGGATTAGGAATGAATTTCAGAACAGTTTGGTGAATCGAAGTGCCATAGGAGAAAAATGGGTTGTTGGAGGAAATAGGCATGCTGGAAAAGCTGACGAAATTAAGTTTATATGGGTTACCTGGGTAGAGGTGTCTAGTGAGCAGACAGCTGTATGGTCTGATGCACAGCTGAGAGAGCTGGGCTGGAGAAATAGGTTCAGCAGTTTCCAGTTTGTGGATCACAGTGGATGTCTAGATCGAGAAGAGAAGAAACCAAGTCATTACCCTCTCAGGGGACTGGTAGAGGAATAAGCCACAAAGTTGTATAATAAAACAAGAGTCAGAAAACCAAGAGCTGATGGCAGTTCAAAAACTGAGTGTTGCAGAAAGATCAGTGTGGTTAGTGGCTCAGCCGGCTGAAAGTTCATGTAAGGTAAGGACTGTAACAAGCCCTGGATTTAACCAATAAAGAAGGTAGTCTCTGGAGAAGGCAGTCTGTAGGGAGGCCTGAGGGCAAGACCCAGGTGGAGTGGGTTCAGCAGTGATTGGGAAGTGAGGAAACAATTGAGTGGGATAATCTTTGAAGAAATTTAACTGGGAGGAGTGGGAGCAGAAAGAGGCTGTAGTTAGCAGGGCTTCAAACCGGTTCATTCTGGATTGAATCCCTGCTAAACATTTGCATTTTCATCCCCAGATATACTGAATCAGAATCTACATTTTAATAGGATCCCCAGGTGATTCTTAAAAATTTTGAGAACCACTCCTCTACTAGAATTGGTCCCTAACCAGCAGCATTAGCATTGCCTGGGAACTTGTTAGAAATGCAAGGGTTCCAGCCAGAAGGAATTCGTTGAAGCCCTGGTAGCTAGAGAGGATTTAGGGATTGAAGGGTCAAGAGAAGGTTTTGTTTGATTTTGCTTTGGTATTTGGGTATTTTTGAGATGGAAAAAAATCTAAGCGTATTTCAGTGCTCATGGGGAGAAGCTAGTGGAGACAGGAGGGGTAGATGATAGTACAGGGTCCCCAAGAAGCAAGAGGTGAGGGGATTCAAAACATAGTCAGAAGGACATCTGTTTGCTTACACCAGGAAGAATGGTGAAAACTTAAGGGGATTCTATCAAGGTTTCTCCTTTTTGAGAAGTAGGAGGCAGAGTCACCTGCTGAGGGTAGTGGGGGAGGTGACAAGGTCAAAAGTACGAGGAGAGCAGAGAGTTGACGAAGGTGTTGTGGAGAACTGACTTTGGAGACAGGAACTCCCAGGCAAGATTAATGATCCACTTGATGTTGAAGAAGGAGCCCTGGTGTTGCAGTGGTCAAAGCAGTTGACTGCTAATCGAAAGGTTGGCACTTCAAAACCGCTAGTGGCTCCTCGGGAGAAAGATGTGGCAATCTGCATCCGTAGAGATTTACAGCCTTGGAAACCCTTTGGGGTTGCTGTGAGTCGGAATCAACTTGACGGCAGTGGGTTTGGGTTTTTTGTGATGTTGGCAACCGTGCACATATAGTGGCAATATTGTCAAGGAATTCAGAGGCTGACATGTCATATACGTTGTCCTTGTGGATGTTGATCTTGTCCAGGATGAAAGCAAGAACTTGAGATGGACTGCAAGGCCCCGAGCCAGGGCTCAAGTCTTCAGTGAGGGACAGTGACCCCGAGGGTGCTAGATGCAGCGAGGAAAAGGTTCAGTTTACTGCAGCTAAATGACATGGGCCTCAAAGAAAGAGATGGTGGTGTGATGCTCTCCATGTGGCGCTGGGGAGCTGTGGGATGTGGAGGAAGAGGCAGTTTGTCTTCGAGAGGACAGATGACAAGGTGGGGACCTCAGGAAAGAGCCGGGTTGCTCCTCAGGTGGGGGGTGGGGGAGCATTCTGTGCTGTGGTTCAGAACTTAGGTGAGCTGTGATTAAAATTGCCACTTGGTGCCAGAGGCAGTTCAGGACATAGTCTTGGGGAGCACACATGTTTAGGGAATGAGAGAAGGAATAAGGAAAGGAGTGTGATGGTTGAGAAAGAGAGCCCTTTAAATAACTGCTGATATTGTAGCTGTTGTCTGAGGTTCGCCTCTCAGGCCCCTTAATCACTTAGTAACTGTTCCCTGGAGCTGTTTTTTGCTTCCTCTTGAGTCGCATTTGCATTCAGGTGAGTGTGGTCGTGTGTCCTGTCAGTATCAGCTAAATTAAATTACAGTTTCTGAAGAGGGAAGAAATGAATATTTTGCAGCCTTTTTAATTTACAAATTGAGCAGCAGCAGGTAATTATTTTTATATTAAAATATTTACCTATAAATATTTGACCACATTCCTTTTGAAATATATTTTAGATTCCATTTAGACGAAGTGTAAAGTTGTGAGTAGCAAAGTCAGAATGAGATCCACTCACCGCTTAATGTTGGTAACCACCATGCTTTTTTCTGGATGTGCAGGCGTGCAAAGTGGAAGATCTGGGCAAAGTGGATTTTGAAGATGAAATTAAGAAAAGATTTAAAATGGTGTATGTGCCAAACTGGTTCTCGGTAGACTTAAAAACCGGGGTAAGTTAGCAATTAATGTTTGTGTTGTTTGGGATAGCTGAAACTTTCCAGATATAGCTCCTCATTAAGCGTCATTAGTTACAGAGTCCTGTGTTTTTGAAGTGTGAAAGAAAAGAGAATTCATGTTAGTTCAAAATGCAGTTTAAATGCCCTTGGTATCCAAGTAAACTACATCGCAGGTGCATGGAATGACAGGAAACACACTTGGGTTCCTGAATCTGTGGTTAGCACTTCAGTCAGATGGTACGGACAGACAGATGAGGGCGTGGAGATTCCTCTGGAGAACGTATTCAGGTGGAACGCCACTAACCTTTCTCCTCTGACAGATGCTGACTATCACTTTGGATGAGAGTGACTGCTTCGCTGCCTGGGTTTCTGCAAAAGATACAGGCTTCAGCAGCCCTGACGGGTCAGACCCAAAACGTGAGTTCAGATGCCTTCCTTCCGTTTCTCCCTCCGAAAGGGAAGGGGGATCTGTGCAGCTTTTCTGGTGTGGACTTCCTCTGTGTAAGAGTTCTTTGTTCTGTGGACTAGACTCCAGGTCTGTAGTATCCTCTAAGAACATGACGTGTAGAAGTACCTGACGTGTCCAGATAAGGTCTCAGTGGTGTCATATGGAAATAACCCTTAAAGAATGCAGTTCCTCTGTTTTTGTTTTGTTTTGTTTTAAAGAATGGTTATGTCTACACAGCCAAATATAATATCACTGCTTGAACTATTCTAAGAGAAAACTTTAACAGACTTTGCAGAATCTCTAAAGTTTTGATTTAAGCATCACTGGCACTGGGTTAAGAATTTAAATTATCAGAATCTATGGAAACCTTACTTACAATTTTTATTTCTTTCTCTCTATGTTTAGGTTAAAACTAACTCTCTTTTCCATTTCTTTTCTTTTAAATTAATTGTTTTGCAGTGAACTTAGGAGGACTCCTACTTCAGGCACTCCTGGAATATTGGCCTAGAACACACGTGAATCCAATGGATGAAGAAGAAAATGAAGTAAACCATGGTTAGTGTTTTTATATCAAGATAATTGATTAAAAGTTACTCGGAAGTAAAAGAGTCTTAGATTGTTTGCTATCCTAAGCAAGGTTTTAAGCATTTACTAAATATGACGGATTAAATATTTGTGGTGGTACTCAGTTCTTTGCACTCCAATCCACATCCCAGATTAAGAGCCATCCGTCCAGCCTTGACCAAGAGTGAGAGTCCCAGAGCAGACTACCTTCTCATGTGGCTTTAAATCACCAGTGAGACTGCTCAGGATAGATACAGTGAACTCTATATCCAGTGACCTTTGTCCTTGAAAGTAGGCACCTTCACAGATTTATTCCAAAGGAACTTCTAGAGTATCCATGGACCTTCTGGATTTACCGCCAAAGCTAGCTAATTAATTAGCTGCACCAGAAAACCCTGTTTCTCACTGTGTAGTCATACTTCATGTTGGTCTGAAATGTTGGTATTACCTTTCTTGATGATCTACCTCATCTTGGCTCTGAATGTTTCAAAAAATCAAATTCCCACTCAGAAGTGGCAGGGTGAGTGTGCGGGTGAGTGTGAAGAATTGACATCATCGAGGACACTTAGCAGGCCCGTGTGCCACAGGGGGCAGCAGCAAACGTCTCTGGGCGGCAGAGGGGAGCATGTTTGGAATTTATGAGTTTGGATCAGTTTGTTTAAAGAAAGAGGGGGAGGAAGACCTTAGAATTACACAGCTTATGTGCGACGTAATGCTGGCTGAGGAGTCACTGAGTACCACGTGCCGAGGGCCTGCTCTGCTGAAGATTCTGTGCTGACCACCAGAAGCGGACAGCAATGACAAGGACCTCATGCCAGGGACTTGGTTCCGGCAGACTGATTCATCCATAATAGTTTTGGGAGTGTCTGTCTCTCATGAGGATAACATGCTTCTCTGAAAGCCAGCCTCCAGAGGAAGCCTGTCAGAGAGAGGGCACTGACCCCGCTATCATGTATTAAATTGTGTCTCCCAAAAATAGATGTATCAATTTGGTTAGGCCGTGATTCCCAGTATTATGTGGTTGTCCACCATTTTGTCATTCGATGTGATTTTCCTGTGTGTTGTAAATCCTGTCTCTATGGTGTTGATGAGATGGGATTAGCAGCAGTTTTGTTAATGAGGCAGGACTCAGTCTACAAGATCGGATTGTGTCTTAAGCCAATCTCTTGAGATATAAAAGAGAGAATCGAGCAGAGAGACATGGGGACCTCATACCACCAAGAAATAAGAGCCAGGAGAATAGCTTGTCCTTTGGACCTGGGGCCCCTGTGCTGAGAAGCTGCTTGTCCAGGGGAAGATAGATGACAAGGACCTTCCTCCAGAGCTGACAGAGAGAAAGCCTTCCCCTGGAGCTGGTGCCCTGAATTTGGACTTCTGGCCTCCTAGACTGAGAGAAGAAATCTCTTGGTTAAAGCCATC